TCCTCCGCCTCCTTCTCCCCATCCTACTCCTCCCCCCCCACCTGTCGTCTCCGTTGTCGGTGAAGTTACTGGTCGTCGTCAGTTGCGCCACACCCTTCCCTCCAGGGAGCTGCCTACCGCGCCGTGGGGCGCGGTGCCATCCGCGGCTCGGGGCGCGGCCAGAACGCGATCGGGCAGACACGGCGGACAGCCGAGCTGGTGTCCGCTGTCGCCCGGGTGACGCAGCGCGCCGTTCACTCGGCTGTGCGCGATCGCCTGGACAGCGCGGTGGCCAGCGGCGTGTGCGGCGTCTTTGTGGGCAGGGCGTTTGACGCCACGCCCTGGAAAGTTCGCTTTGCGAGCTTGGCCGCCAAGGTGTCACCCCACGCCCGCTACTTCATCGCCGACGCAGATGGGACGCCGAGGTCGGTGAGCGCTGAGGAGTACCTCGCGCGATCGCCTGATGGGTCACTTCCGGATCGAGGGGTCCTGGAAGTCTTGGCCCAGGAGGTGACCATCGCGTGGGTCTTCAACGGCGGGGCCGAGGAGGCGCATGACATCCCTGTCCCACCAGTGTTCTTGCAGAACGGGCGCTCGTCGACGATGGCCGACGCGATCTCAGACGCTGTCCCTGTCGTGTCCTTTGAGGAGGTCGTTCGGCTCGCAGGTCGCGTGCCCTTTGTTTTCTTGGCGGGCATGCCCGATGCCGCCAAGAACAACCAGCGGATTTTGGCGAACATCCAGATGGATCTGCTGCCGCTCCGCAACGTGCTGTCGCTGCCCGTAGACATGTGCATGGTGCACCAGATGCACAGGATCATGACCGCCGCGACGGACGAGGAGAGCTACGCAGGCGATGTGCACAGCCTCACCGTCGTACATCGAAGCCCGCAAGGGCACCAGGCGCTCACGAAGCAGTTGGAGCACGTCATTGCGTCCGACTTTGAGTACGACCAGGTGGGCCTCCCAAATCCTCGCCATCTTCTCCATCTTCGCCAAGTGCTGGAGGCGACGATGGCCCGGGACGTCCGCGGTCGCACCGACATCAACGGCAGCTCGGAGAAGCCCCAGACGGCGGGGCGGGTGGGGGCAGGATTGCCGTCGGACTTCTCAGCCGCCCTCTCCCCTCCCCTTCCCTCTCCCCCACCGACATCCACACTGCCGTCCTCCACCTCCGTCCCAACCCCTGCCCGCCAACCCCCGCTCCCTGTCCTACCGCCGTTCCCTCCTCTTCCCCCCCCTCCTCCTGCCCTGCCTCCGCGTCCTCGAGCGTCTTATGGTCCCTCCTATCTTTGATCTAGCTCGTCTTCCCGTCGTCAGCGTTTGAACTCTCGCCCCGCCTCCTCTGACCCTCCCGCTCCGCTTAGTACCGTCGCGGGCTACGCCGCTCTCTCTTGCTCGCCAACCGTCCTTGCGCTCTGCTAGTCTCCCCGAGCCCCCACTACCTCCGCCCGATGGGTCGACGGAGAGGAGCCTTGCGAGGATGTTGCAGGGGTGTTTGGTGAGAGGATGCTGCGACGAGGATGGATGCGGGGGGGGGGTGGCTTCGGGCAACGGTGGAGGCGGCGGCGAGCAGGGCACGGGGGAGCGGAGCGCACGGGACGGGCAGGGCGTCGACAACATCAACCACAGAATCAAGTTGCTGACGACATACCTGAACGGCGACATCAGGTCCGACCGCATCGTCCATTTCGAGAGGGCTTGCGGGCGCTGCAAGAGCAGGGCCGACGCGATCTCGAACATTGCCGCTGCCCTGGAGGAGAGTCACGTCGTTCTGCCCATGGGGTGCTTGGAGCCGTCGACTCATCGGCGGGGGCAGGTCGACGACTCGATGGCCCAGCAGGCGCCAGGAGTGCTGATCCACAACATGACGGCGCGCTTGCTCAGCGCTGCGTTCCCCAGGACTAAGGGCGCATGCATGCCCCAGGAGGGGGGGCAAGATTACCGCAAGTGGCAGCGGGACAAGGCCAACCGTGCGAGGGACGTGAACTGCTCCTCCACGTTCGGCCCCAAGATGGTGGCCAACCTTTGGGGGGGCTCTCCCATGCACTGGGTATGGCAGCGACTGGAGTACTTGGACGGCCAGGGCGGTGCCCTCATGTCGCTCATTGACCCAGCCACCAGCCCCATCGAGCACGCCCAATCCGAGCTCGCCAGCATGCTCATGGAGAACGCTGGCCGGCATGGCCTCAGCACCATCTGGTACCATTATGCGGACGAGCCTCGGAAGCTGCACCTTGTCAAGCTGCACTCGCTCTCGGTGATCTGCTGTGCCTACGCGCAGAACTATTGGAGGTTCACGGTTCCGCTGGGCGACGTACCTTTTGAGATTATGAGGTATGCTGCTGGACCTGAGCCCATGCGCCGAGCTAGTTGTGCAAAATTGTTTGGGTTATCTGAATGCTGTCTCGACAATCGGTTGGCTGCGAAACTTAGACGCCTTTGGGACTCAGCGGATGACATGGTTGCAGACCCGAAGTTTTGGGAATCGTACCTCATGTTTGGACGGCGGTCCAAAGTGTGCAACATGCATATCGAGCGCTTGCTCGCGCATATCAGGCAGTCGCTGCCTGCCGACATGAAGGCCCCGTGCCTCGAGCGCGTCTGCGGCAACGGCATGCTCGCCCAGTGCCTCTCCCACTTCGTGGCAGCGGGTGGCGATGACCCCCGCAAGGACACGCTGGCGAACGCCCGCCGGCTGGGCTTGACTCTGAGACGAGACGTGCCGAAGAAGAACCAGCCCACTAGGAAGATGCCAGCATGCAATATGTTCGCCAACACGTATCAAGCTGCGCGGCTCGCACAGTGCCCAGGATCTGGTCGAGCTGGACTGGCCGCAGTGCGTCGCGACCTGGCTCAGGAGTTCCACGTGCTGCCTGACACCACCAAGGCCGTGTGCGAGACTCGGTCCAAGGAGGCGTTCGTCGAGAAGAAGCGCCGCCAGCTGCGAGTCGCTGTTGCGTCCGAGCCCGACGCACCTGCACCACCGCCCGCGCGCTTGGTCGGCTGCTCGTCCTGGGAGCACCCCATCGAGACCAGCAAGTTCATGCAGGCCAGTGGCGCCACCGATGCGGAGGCGTCCTTCAGGTCGTGGGGGCCAGCCCGTCGGGCAGAATTCCAGGATGCGTGCTTCGTCGTAGACTCGGGGCGGATCCCGAAGGACAAGCGAGTTGCATATACGCGGTGCTGTCACCAGATGCATTTCGGCGTGTGCAGGTTCGCTGACTCGCAGGTGTACTCGGTGCTCATGTCAGGGGGGCTGTCTCTGTGGCGGTACGTGTGGGAGCACAAGCTTCAGGGCGCGTGGCTTCACGTATGGCTTGCCGACGGTGATGACCGCCTTCCCGGCCACGAGGCGTGATGGGATCACCCCCCATGCGGAGAGCAATCGTCATGGGGTCGGGGGACGTTTGGGGGTTCCAGGCTTGCGCCAAGGTTTGCTGGTGCATGTGTGAAAACTCGGACGTAGGATCTCACGGGGTCAGGCGATCCCGATTTGGCCAGCGATGGCCTTGTTCCAGGGGCGTATGGTTTTGTGTCGGGGCGCAGGGTTTGATGAGTAGGGTTCTCCACATGGGGGGTGCACCCACGTCTCCTTCAGGGCTGGTTCTTCGTGGCGTACGCTCGCGGCAGCGATCCACGCGTTGCACTGTGCCTCGCAGGTCACCGCCCTGCCCCTCACATCCTCCCCCCAATGTCGCATGATCCCCCGCGCGCTCACCGCCTCCCTCTCCCGCCCTCCTGCCTCCCCGCCAGTGGGCGTCCTCCTCCTGCCGCCTCCTACCTCATGCCATGTCATGTCGCCTCATGCCACCTCCTCCCACTCCTCCTCCTCCTCCTCCTCCTCCTCCTCCTCCTCCTCCGCCTCCTCCTCCTCCTCCTCCTCCTCCTCCTCCTCCTCCTCCTCCTCTTGGACGCTGCTACAGGTGCCCTGGCCCAAGGGGCCCCAAGATTTTCGCGCAAATAGGGGGCATCTTGCAGGGCCTCCTGGACGCCGCGGCGGCCTCCCTGGACCTCCTGGGGCGACCCTACGGCCAGGGGCGCCTTCAGCACCTCCCGAGAGGAGGCGGAGGAGGATGAGAGGATGAGGATGAGGAGGAGGTGGAGGATGAGGAGGAGGAGGAGGAGGAGGGGGAGGCT